GCAAGGATTAAAGCAGAAACTTTGTTATGTCATAATTATAACTTGTGTTTTGTTACTTGATAATATGAATTTTTTCTGGTCACATTACACTAGGAAAATGTATCCTACTAAGAAATCACATATAAATTAATAGATTACATTTCAGCTGAATTACTTATGTAATTTATAAGAATTGTTTCTCTAATTGACAACAAATAAAGTTTCAAAATTGTGTGATGATTTTTTGAAAGTTTCAAAAAAAAAAGGTAAGTTTTCAAAATATACAACTGGGGTTAATGTTTACCTTTATTTCATACTTCTAGTAATAGCATCTATGGTTCAGCTATCTGTATTTTCAACATAACCAATATAGAAAGGGCATTTGAAGGTCCCTTCAAATATCAAGAAACTCCCAAATCTCAGTGGGAGCGACATAATGGACCGCATAGGCATTTTCAGGTATTTAAAACAGTTTCAATCATTACTTGTGTTTTTAGATTTATTTTAATCTTGTCCAAGACATAACATTTCAAAAGTTATTGTTCTAAGATGTGAGCTGAACACGTGTTTTTATTAATTTATTATACTTTGAAAAAATCACAGAAATTATGAATTTTTCCCGTGATTGAAAAACTTTTATTCTGACAAACAGCAAATTCATTTTCCAGTGCACCAGGTTTGATTTTTTAAAAACTTATTGGAATATTTGTACTTTACAACTGGTTTCAAAGTTTTATTGTTCGTAAATTGCAATTTATCTATTGTAAGCTAAATTATTTTTATTTTGGGAACTGAAAATCTAGTTAAACATGAAAGGCATGTTTCAGGTACATTTCCTGGTTATCATTTCTTTCTCCTTTAAATAATGATTTGATATCTTGGTTACTAAGATACAATTATCCTTGACTAAAACCTGTTTTCCCAGTTTCCTAAGTGTGAATCCTGTAATCTCAGTCTTGACATGAAAATATGTAGATTTCTATATGTATAATGTTAGTTGCTAATCTTTTATTGTTATTTTGAAGTTTTTCATATTCCCAAACTGTATGTTCTATTATATTTTACTCCCACCATTTCAAGAAATGTTTTGTTAAAGTCATTTAAAATGATTGATGACTGGCATCTTTTCTCTTATCACTCAGATTCCAGTTAATTGGAATCTTTCTAAAATGGAAATATTAAACATTTTCTAAGCATGTTCAGATAAAGTTAACAATGTAAATCAAAAACAGGGTCATTTTTGTGCATTATTAAAAAAATAATTGACAATAGATAATTATTTTCATGGGGGGGAAAAAAAGAAACTTGAAAGCTCTTACAGCTATATTTTAAAGCTGTTCTATGGTTTTGCTGAGGAGATATAATTTCAGAAATAGATTTCCTCCAAAGATTAAAAAAAAATATATATATTACAAGAAAAGTTGTATAGAAGGATAATACTGGTGAATATTAGTACTTATGCATACTTTATTTGAGATATTATAAATCTGAATTATATAACCTGGAGTTTATTAACAAATATAACATTAAATCTATTAAGGATACCATATTTATTGTGTTTTTCTTAGGTTACATTAAATTAATAAAACAAATGCTTTAATTCTCAAAAATCTAAATTAATTTTTTTATACTGTTATGCTACAACAGAAATTTAGGTTTTTCCTTCGTTAGAAAGTTTGCAGAACTTTCACTATATGAAAGCATGATTAAACTGTAATTCATTGTGTATGTGTTTAATGAATTATAACTTCATATTATGAGAATAAGGTAGATATTGTTTTGTTTTGTACAAGGAATATTAAAGTTGTACTGGTTTTGGTAGTTCACAGCTGTATCTAAGTTGTTGATCTAATTTTGCAAAATAGTGCGAAACCCCTGGTAGCTCTCAACATCTGGTTGATGCTGATCGTTTCAAGTTAATGGATGATGCAGTACAAGCCAGTTATTCCAGACCTGTATATATGACTAAATTTGAGAGGTATTATAATAGAACTATTTGAAAATTAATGCATTAATCTAAGATACATAAACAAAAATGCAGTTGTAAACTTTTTTTCTGTTTAGTTTAAAGCTAATTTATAGGTGAGTAATGTTTCATTTTTTTTCTCTACTTTACTGACTAATTTTACATTTACCATTCTTTCTAAGTTACTAATTTTTACTTTAATCATTTAAGGTATTCATTTTTTTTTTCTTGGTTAGAACTATGTAAAATTAATAATGAAAACAAAAATCGATGTAATCTTTGTTGTGTTAATTGGATAAATATACATTCAACATGAAAAGCTGTGATCACATAGTATTGCTATTTTTTAATTTCTTAGCTAATTGTTTTTTCAGATTTGATTTGTTTGCTACTTCACAATAATTGATCATTATCTTTGACATTGATTTTTTTTTTGGGTGTAGTGTCAAAAGATTGATATGATTTTTAGTTAAAGTCACCACTTGGAGAAGTTGAAAGAATAAGTAAGATTATACTGTAAATGTTATGTGTTATGGTTTCCTTTTCTTTTTTTAGATAAAGTATCTTCCCTGTGCAGCATTTACTTGTAATCATTGAAATAATTTTTAAAATGATAGATGACAGTACCATATCTATTATTGTTATATTTTTATCAAACTTGTGAAATTTTTAACTGAAAGGGATCAGAATTTGCCAAATAATAACCATGCATTATATTTTTTAACAATATTTATTGACAATAAAGAAACACCTATTCATCTGCATGACTTAAAACTGGGAGAGCTTAGTTCTTGTGTGAAGTTTTCAAAAATTAAAGCAAATAAACATATGTACCTGCTAATATTATAAGAAGTACTTTTTACATTGGATAATAGTTTCTTGATAACAATAAAGCCATAATATTTTTGGTGAATTATGTGGCTTGCATTTGATGATGGAGTTAAGTGCAACAGTGCTCACATGTGTAGTTCTACTCTACTGGATTATCAAGTATAGATTAAAGAGCTTGTAATTATAATCTGTAGACCTGATTTACAGCATGAACATAAATCCTCTGACTCATAGACTGTTTATATACCTTACATCATACATTGGGTAACTGCCAGCAATTTGTTTTTGAATTTTTATCTGTGGGAAAGTAACTACACTATTACCTATTTACAAGGACTTGTATTATTAGCCTCATTGAAGTTTTTTTGTTCCTTGTTATTGTATCTGTAAACCAATACCTAGTATCTATGAGTGTATTTTTAAATAATCTTCTAATTGTTGTGATTTTTCATACCAGAATATCATGCCTTGTGTCTTATCATTGCTGACAACATTTTATAAAATTTATACTGACCTTCAAAGAACTAGACAATGCAAATTTATAGAAACATTGTCAAAATAGATAATTTATCACGCACACAATATCTGGAAATAATTCATGTACTGGAAGTACAGAACTAATTGCAAGAGAGAGTATATGGCTGTTAGTAAATTGTAAATATATTTTGACAGTTAGACCAATGTATAGTACTAAATTATAGTTATCAGATATATGTTGAACAAAACTGGTGATGTTATACTGGAGAGGAGAAGGAAAGTTTAAATTGAAAAGAGTTCTGTATTTAAAGTTCAGAAACTTGCAAATATTGTATAACTTTGAATTTGCTTCAGCATATTGTTTCTAGAACTGATATTAAAGAAAGTAAATAAGCTAAAATGGGATAATTGTGAAGTTATAAGATTTTGTTTTGATTTAATTGGAGTAATACTATGACAGGTACACAAAAACATGTTTACTTTGACTTTGAACCTTTTACAAAAGAAAATTACTTTGTGCTTGAATATTGCCCATTCAGGAATGTTTCCCTTCTGGGAAATGTACATTAAACTTGGGCACTGTCCTCCCAAATCTGTTAACCATATAATAAACTTAATTCAGACTTTTTTTATAGGCTTTGTCAAATTTGGAGTTTGTTTATGATTTATTATCTAAATATTTGCATATCCTTCCTTGTTTTTTTAAATGTTTAAAAAGTTTTAGGTTACGTAGTTTTTATTATTTAGGTTGGATTGAGGTTTCAATTGATTTATTATAAAAATTTTTTTCTTTTCACCATGTCTTACTATAGATTCAGCAAAGTTGTAGTTGATGTAGTTCCAACCAAGTTCTCAGATGGTATCCATGTTTTATTTGTGGTCACATTAGAAGGAGTAATAAAAAAATTGATCCTGGTTCCTAAGACCAATGAGGCATGTATGGTGGAAGAGATTCATGTTTTTCTTCCTAACAGCACAGAACAGGTCATATCCATGAAACTTCTAACTGATACGGTAAGGGATTTTGATGCAAAACCTAATTCATTATTACTTCTTTTTATTTGTTACGTAATTTTTGTGTTGATTGTACCTATAAAATAAGAATTACATTTGAAGTGTTTTAGTTTTGTATTTAGTGTAAGTATTTTCTTTAGCATTTTATAGCAGATTCTTGTTTTTTATATGAATATGAGGATGTAATATCAAATAAACATGAAGTTAATTAAAATCAGTTTTCCTTAACTAAATATTTGTTCACTCGTATGTTTAAATGTGTGTTTTGAGAAAGTATAACAAAAGGTAATACTTGAAAAGTTGTAAATCATATCATTTCACAATGTCGATGAAAAACTAATACATCAATGTGGCAGTAGTATCTAATACAAAAACAAGACAATGTTCACCCAGTTTCTTTTAATAATGTACATATAGCCATTAGACCTTTTGTATTTATGTCAAGTAGTGTTCTACAGATGGTTTTCTATTAAACCTTTTGAATATTTAATACTTATGTATCTTGTAATTGCAGTTTATTCAGTTTTATAATGTATACAAAGTTATATTTTTGCATTTGTTATAAATAGTATTCTATCATTTTTCTTAATACAAGACAATCAAAGTAATTCTGCTTATGTAATGAAATATTTTAACACATACTACATGTTTTGGCAGAACATTGGCCTGTCTTCTTCAGGTCTGATACAAATCCAAACAAAAATGTCACTGGGGACTATGGGTAACAGGGTGTAACAATAGGGTGTTATTTCAGGGAGGGGAAGCTAAATAAATAAACTTTGACATATTTTGTTAATTTTACTAGGGTCATTGTCACAATTTTCAGATTCTATTTCATATGTATAGGTTATAATATTTGGTCTTATACTGTTTAGAAATTCAACAAAGTTGGGTATACTGTCTCTACCATGTCAGCATATCGTCCATGTAACTTAGTCAAATTACAGGTTTGTGTATGTGTGAAAGAATGTCCAAAAAGTTCTTCTTTGAACACAGACATGTAGAGGTCACTAAGTAGGGGAGGAAAGGGAAGATCCCATGGCTAAACCGCTGTTTTGTTTGTAGAAGTATTCAGTTAGACTAGTAAGGTGGCTTATATCTTAAGGATCATGGTCAGTTTATTCCAGTTTGACTTTTAAACAGACTAGGGCCTGTTCTACAGGTATAGAAATGAAGAGAGATTTTATGTCAAAGGATACTAAAATGTCTTCCTTTTCTAGGCTAATGTTTTTGATTCTGTTCATGAAGTCTTTGGAATTTTTAAGAGAGACAGGGTTAGTATATAACAAAGAAGTAAATTTTTTAGTTAAGAATTTAGCGACACTTTGTATAGGTGAGCCTGTGCTAGATACAATAGGTCTGTATGGTGTATTTTCCTTGTGTACTTTTGGAAGAGGGGGATGATAGTGGGTAGGAGTAAGAGAATTTTTTTGGTTAGCTGTAAGACTGGGACATGCTTCAACAAGATTTTTATGCTGATAAGAACTTTACTGGTAGGGTCATTTCTTAGTAAAGTATATGAGCCATCATTTAGTAGAGTATTGACCCCCCCCCCCCCACACTTGTCTGTAATGGGACTTATCAGTGACTACTGTACAGCCACCTTTGTTTGCTCTAGTTATGTATACTTTACTGTTAGACCTTAATTCATTTAAAGCATTAATTTCTTTGTTATTTAGGTTAGTTTTAAGCTTATTCTCCTTATATTTTGAAAGGGTAGAAAATATGTTGACTCTGATTTTTTTTCAGCTTGACTATAATTTAAAGTTGTTGATGTTAGTTTCAGTGGTAGCAATTATTTGCTCAGTTGATACAGAACAACGTTCAACAGCAAAGTTTATAGCTAAGTTTAAGATAGACATCTGTTCGTTACTTAATAATTCACTTGAAAGGTTTACAACAGATGGTGGAAGAGTTAATGGTTGCAAATTGTTTACTTCTCTTTTCTGCTTTTCTTTCTGAAACTTCTTTTCCTGGTTGATCCTCTTCTATTCTGTGGTCTTTGTAGTCTAGTCTGTTCCAATCTCTTCCAGAGATAAGTTGTTGGCAAGTTCAAGGGGTTTTCTGAATAGCTGGATTTCTAACTTAGAGATTGTTTTGTAGACATATTTTATGGTGGCTGCTAACACTACAAGCTTGTTGTTTTCAATTGTTGCTTTGATGCGACAAAATTTAGTGGAGCACTTAATTTGAAAACAGATTGGAATGACTTTGGAAGATTTACAGTTCAAGAGAAACCAGAATGTGCTAAGTTTACTCTGTTTTGTTCCAAGCTTTGTAAGTAAGTTTGCTTCTTGGCCCATTGATAGCATAGATATTTGTGTACAATGAACATAAACAAGGTGTATATAATATAAAGTGTGAATATAGTAAGACATATATTGAACAAACTGCCCGATCTCTCAAAATTAGATGCAAAGAACCACAAAACCATGTTTGTAAAGGTGTTTTTGAAAAATCTGTCTTAAAACTTCATCAATTTGAAACATAGGATTATTTGGGAAATTATGTCCCTACTACACCAACCAAAACATAAAATAGAACAAAATATTCTTGAAAGCATTGAAATTATTAAAACAGGTGTTTTAACTTTAAACCACTGACAGTGACCTTAGTAACATTAAAAAAATGTGGTTAAGTTTATTCACTTGTCTCTCTCTCTCTTTGACCTTCCTTTAGATAATAACTCTGTCACAATTTTTTGTCGTTATGTGATAACACCCCGTTGTTACATCCTGCTACCCATAGCTCCTAGAGACATTTGTTCTGTATATAAACCTCTTTGTTTGGATGTGTATCATACCTGAAGAAGACAGATCAATGCTTTGACGAAACATATAGTATGTATTAAAATATTTCATAATGCTTACAAATTGCTGCGCCTTATATATGCAAATCTTGTATGTTAACTCATAAGTTCTAAAAGTTTTATTTCAGTTTTGTTTTTGGTACCTTGCAGATTATAAATTTACTAAACTAGAAAAATGTAACCTTATTCAAACTGATAAACTAGTTTTTCCTCATTGTAGAGCTCACTGTATATTGGAACTGAAACACAACTGATGAGTATACCCTTACATCGCTGTGAACGGTTCAGAGATAAGGAGTATGTGTTTTGATTTTAATTGATTTCTACATGTTTAGAACTGGTATTTTATCACTATGTTATTTTTGGGCCTATGAAAATTTAACAAAGGTTGTAGATTAGGTGAACTTTCTAAATTAGTATTGTTACGTCTCCGTGTGTTAATTAATTTTTCCGTAACTTCGTTCCAACGAAACTTTAACGACACAAGTCTTTACTTAATAAAACTGGTTTATTCTTTCCGAATATAACTCTGCGATACACTTAATCTCAATACTCGTGCTAAAACAACACTGTAACGAACGAACGTTAACTTCAACAATACCATGTGACTGCAGTTCAATTACTCACTATCTACACACACACATTACCTTACCTTACCGCGTCACGTTTTCCCCTCTTATATATATACCAGCCTACCCTACTAGTAAATACTAGACCATTCGCCAAGATACGGTATAGTTCTAGAAACAAGAGAGCGTGAGAATTGTCACGTGATCTCGATGACGCAACAGTATGTTTTCTATTGCTTTATATACATACATACATACTTACATATATATGCAGGTTGCAAGGTATAGAATGAAAATTGTCATACAGTGCTTTTTGTTTCAGTTTAAAACTCTTATTACATAGATTATTCTATTTATAATTTGTGAATAAATTATTTGATTTTTATTCTTCTTATCCTATATTTTGTTGCATTCAATCATCTACTATTCACTAACAAGAAAATCAATTTATTATGAATCTTCTAGTATTTTGAGTATGTTGTTATTTTATTTTTTCATGTTGTCCTGTAAGAAAGGCCTAATCAAATATTAAATGTGTGCATGGGTATATTTTTATATATATTTCCACTTATCAGTCATTGTTTTCAAATTTTATTTTTTTCTGTACAGAAAAAAGAATATCATAATATAATGACTATTATTTTTAATTGCTTATGCTAGCTTACTTATTAAAAATGAAGGTTGAAAGTCTGCTATTTACTATAACACACATTATGAACATTTAAAGAGAACATGAATTTTTTAAGAGTAGGTAAAGGTTAAGCCAATTTTATTTTACGTATGTACGTGTGTGTGTGTGTATATGTACACTTGCATAGTGTGTGTGCTTTAGTAAATATTAGTCTATTAATAAATATTAGTCTATTAGTAAATATTAAGCAATTACAAATAATAATCATTACAATTGGATGTGTGTGTGTAGACATACATACATAACTATTCTTAAAAATTCATGTTCTCTTTAAATGCTCATAACGTGTGTACTTTAGTAAGTAGTAGACTACTTTTCAACTTTCATTTTTAATAACTAAGCTAACATATATATCTGTGCATTGTACCTGTCGTGTGTGTATGTATGCTTAATTTTAATCTATTATGACAAAAGGCTGTTTTCCAGTACAGTTTTATTAGTTTGGTTATGGTAATATTTATTGATACTGTTTGTTTAAGGTTTTCAAAGTTATTCTTTTGTAATATTTTGACAGTTCATGCCTCAATGCTATGGATCCATACTGTGGATGGAATAGTCATGAATTAAGGTGTACTACTGCCCCCTATCGTAGCCCTCATAGCACTTTCTGGGAACAAGAATGTAAATGTGTCTCTAAAAATGAGTAGATATACAATCAGTTTGAATGTTTGCAAGTAAGAAAACTATGCTATCTGGACAATGAATCTTACTTAGTTACTAAGTTAGTTTTAAAGCATTGTGTGTTTTCTATAGCCTTTATCGTTATTTATATGCAAATTTTTGGGGAAGACTTAGTTTTTCATTACATTTTACCACAAAATAATTTTTAAGTCAGAAAAATTCTTAAATTAGCATTTCTGCACTCAACCATTTCACTTATGAGTATGGCATCCTTTCTAGACTATACCAGTCTCTACATAGTGTTAAACTAACCTGGTATATTCCTGTTTGGACAACCAGTTGGGACATCGTTTGTTTTTTCTGTTATACTATAATCCCACAAATTCCTATATTCACTGTAGATTCTTTTTCTTTCTTTCTTGCATCAGATTTGTTATCTTCGTTAATAAATATTGAAAATTTTAAATATAAAAATTGGTTTGTGGTTACCAGGCAAATTATCTTAAACTTGATTTAGCTTATTTTAACCTAAGAGAAAGTAAACATAAACATTTGTACACAGATTTCTATACACATAGGTATAATGACAAAATATTTATGTTGATTTGAAAAATAATAATCATTTTTAAAGACACATTTTTCATACACTCATATACCTATTAATATTCATTTAGTAAAAATATAAATTGTATGAGAATAAAGATCTAAAAGTAAATAACATTATTAATAGAGAATTCATGCAATACATTAAAAAAAAGTGTATTAAATTTTAATGTGTGAAATCCAAGTATAGTTTAGGAGTATTATTAGAATAGTCAATTGTTCTATATATATATAAAAGTACAACACATAGGGAATGTCTGAACAGACTTACACCAGCATTGAAGTATGAACAAAATTCAACCTAGAAAAAAGGTTATGCAAATGTATAGGAAGTAGTTTACTATTTGTTCTTTGAATCGTATGTTTGAATGTATACTCCATGTATACTCCACAAGGCATGAGTAAGAGCTGACAAATACTATTTTTATTCAAAGTTTGTATACAGCGTATTTCAACATGTAAATCTGGTGCTATAAATAACTACGTAACCAAAATATAACAGTTACTGATCAGCATCATTATATTTATATTTTAAAGGGTTTTGATAAATAAATTGAAATTAGTTGCACTTTTGTATGTTTATGAAATGTTATCTGGTGATGTAGTTTTTGTTCATTTTATGAACAGTTCATGGTGAGTGGAGCCAGTGGTCTTCGTGGTTTCAATGTGAACAGTCGGGCGTGGATTCTCCTGGTGACTGGTGTCTATGTCGAGAAAGAACATGCACCAATCCTGCTCCTAAAAATGGTGGAGAACAGTGTAGTGGAGGAAAAATACAAGTGTCAAACTGTACACGTAAGTTTTTATGTATGACGAAGTATTGGGTATATTTTGTAAGCTAGCATAAAATGGAATTTCTTAAATATAATAACTGTTATTAAAGAAGGACAGCCATTTTTAATGGGTTGTTTTCATAGAATTGCCATAAGTAGAATTACTCCTGAATTAATAGTAGGAGTTCAGATAGAGTTAGTTTCTCTATAGTCAGAAGTGGTAAATGGCAATTTCACTTAAGATTTGTCACAAAGTTGTATGTGTGATTTTTGCCATTCTTCAAATCATCTTTTTTTACTTACAAAAATGTTATTTTTTGAAATTTTGACATGCTCAGAATATTCAGTTTACATTACATACATATTTAGGAAATGGCCTATGGACACAGTGGTCAGCATGGTCTGCTTGTTCTCAGACTTGTGGTCTGGCTCTAAAAACACGACGTAGGTATTGTGGTAATCCATCTCCAGCCCATGGGGGGAGGATATGTCTTGGCCCAGAAATGGAAGAAACACATTGTTCAACAAACCCTCCTTGCTTAGGTACATATTTTGACTTTTTATTTTTATATGTTTAAAATAAAATAAATATTGAGTATTTATCTGATTTTTTTTACTATACCAAAGGAGAAAAGCTATTCCAACTTATTGTAGCTGTAGCTAATAAAATACATGTACACTGGCTCTTAAACAATAACAGTTAATTGCTATCTTTTACTAATCATTTGAAAGTAAGTTTAAGTAACTAATTTACTAAAGAATAGTAAGACAGCATAGAATTATTAAAGTATAATAATATTTTTTGCAATAGGCCTGCTGCAAGTCTCTGAAGTTCTCACTGAAAGTCTAGTTTTATTTTTAAGCCTAAAAGACTGCGTTTTGTAACATAAAAAAAATCCAACTATTCATTGTATTCCAATTTGAAAGTGTTATATCTGTGGTTTGAAAATTACAAAGAAATATTATGATATCAAGAATAATATGCTTAGATTTTTGTTATATAGCTTCTTTATTTACATCAAGTTTTTTATGTTTAAATCTCAATTATTTGGATTGATCCATGTTCATCATCAGCTACAGGAAATCGAAGCTAAACCTGTTTTGCAAAACATTAAACAGTTTATTACCTATTATCTATATACTGCTAAAACTCTGAGTTTGTTTGTTTGCTTATCTGTAATTAAATACAGCAAAAATGGTGCACAATAGTGCCATATTTGTAATGAAATGAGAATAGAAACAGAATAAAACAAGTTTCGTTAAAATTGGGCTATGGGTTACTGAGTTAGCGATGTTTTTCAGGTCACTTTTATGAAAATTTGTAGCATGAGTAATTTTGCATCACACTATCATTCGCGATCTTTATGAAACTTCTTCGTCCAAATCTATTTCCCTGTCAATGTTTCCATCTTCATTAAAAGGCATAAGATGACAAAAACAAGATCTTGAAGAATTTCTCAATAATGTGCCTTGGTTATGGTAGGTAATTTGAAGAAAAATAAAGTGTTACTGTTTCTTATTTG